GGTAATGTCTGCAAGCACTGAAATTGTAAGTAGTGAGTAGTTTGATAGCAAGATGATTTGTAATGAGCAAGTAACGGCAAGGTTGTCAGAATCGTGATTTTGAATCGGATCAGAGCTTCGATGGTTGGATCGCAAATCATAGGATCTTCACTATCAGGATCGTAAAGTCGTAGATTCTAAGAACTAAAATCGTAGATTCATAGGGGTTAGTTTGGATCGTAAAGTCGTAAAATCGTATAACAGAATCGCGATTCTGACAACCTTGAGTAACGGTAATAGTAACAAAAGTGCAGCAAGGTAGCCCAATCCTTTTGAGGCAAAGGGCAATGCCAAAACAGTCTCTTATGATAAGCAAAGCGTTCTTGAGGTTACACGGAAATTTTATCTAGTCACTTTCATCATGTTAGTTTGATTTGTATTCGCTACTTTGATAATTTAATATGTGGGTGGATCGGTGCTTAGGTATTGTTCTTACTTGAACAAACTTCCTACTTATGATTAAACCCATCGCAAGCATCCACAACTACGAGAAAAGTATTAAGAATAAATTCTAATCATGGCATTAAACTTATGGATCCAATCGGTCCCTTACGGAATAGCGCATAAACTAGAGTTTAAGCTTCTGTCACTCTCGCAACCCATTATCTAATAACTATTCCACAATGCATTCCCTTAGGCCCAAATATGGTGAAGTGTCATGTAGTCGACGTTCACATGACACCACTAAGGGAATCACAAGATACATACCATCAAAATATCAAACACATATAAAATTCACATGATTAGTTGCAACAAGATTTCTCCCATGACCTAAAAACAAAAGTAACTACTCACAAATGATAATCATGCTCAAGATCAGAGGGGTATTAAATAGCATATTGGATCTGAACATATAATCCTCCACCAAATAAACCATATAGTGATCAACTACAAGATGCAATCAACACTACTAGTTACCCACAAGTACCAATCTATAGTTCCAGTACAAAGATTGAACACAAGAGATGAACTAGGGTTTGAGAGGAGATGGTGCTGTTGAAGATGTTGACGGAGATTGCCCTCCCCAAGATGGGAGAGTTGTTGGTGATGATGATGACGATGATTTCCCCCTTCGGGAGGGAAGTTTCACCGGCGGAATTGCTCCGCCGGAGGGCAAAAGTTCTCCTGCCCAAGTTCCGCCTCGAGACAACGGAGCTTCATCCCGAAAGTCCTCCCTTTATTTTTTCTAGGTCAAAATGACTTATATACCAGAAGATGGGCACCGGAGGTGGGCTGGGCTAAGCACAACCCACCAGGGCGTGCCTAGGGGCCCAGGCACGCCCTGGTGTCTTGTGCTCACCAGGTGGCCCCCCTCCGGTAGTTATTTGCTCCAATATTTCTTATTTATTCCATAAAAATTCCCCGTGAAGTTTCAGCTCTTTTGGAGTTGTGCGGAATAGGTAGCCCGACGTAGCTTTTTCAGGTCCAAATTCCCAGCTGTCGAAATTCTCCCTCTTTGTGTGTACCTTGTAAATTATGAGAGAAAAGGCATTAGAATTACTCCAAAAAGCATTATTATGCATAAAAACATTATACATAACAGTAGGTAAACATGATGCGAAATGGACGTATCAAACAGCAACATCCAAGGACACCAAACACCTTTAAGAAGGTGTTGTCGTCATGTTGTGCCCTTCCCCTCCTCTCGAGGTGCTTTCTAGGGAGGGGGGGGGGCTCAAATCTACCTTGGATCAAATGATGACATCACCTTGTGTCGGTCTTATCCTTGGAGCCTTTGTATTTTGAGTTGATGTCAACTATAGAGACCGCAGCTTGTCCACAGGATGGTGTTGCGACTTGTGTGGCACCAATGATGATGGCGAGTGGAGTTGGATCGTGAATCATCTTTCTGATGTTGATGGTTCAATGTGCTAGCTCGGTACACCTACACTTGTTTCTCACTTTGACAAGGAAGTTCATTTTCTGTGCAGTTGTGCCACTGTGGCCGATGACTCCATTAGGTTTTTTTTAGCGGGGATGCTCTCCAGTTGATGTGTTGTACTAGTTTTATGCGAGGCATGCAACTTTCTCCTTTAAAATTGAAATTGTCTCAACTCCATGTAGGGGGTTTCAGTGGGCAATGCTCTCCACTTGATGTGTTGTACTAGGTTAATGTGAAGCTTGTGACTTTCTCCTTCAAAATTGAAGTTGTCTCAGCCTCTATGCTCGGTCGACTATTTGTCAATGCTTTCTTGCTTGATGTAACCTCTCCACGGTTGGTAAGTTGGTGCTTGTCCGAAGTTAAGTTGGGGTCATCTGACCAGGCGTGATGGATGATGCCAATGACACTTTCTATTGGAGCGGGTGATCCGGTTGAGTTGTTGTTTATGCCAAGATCTTGTTAGTATCTAGGACGTGTGCAAGTGCATTATGTTAGGACATCGTGATCTGACGGGTGCATGGGCTTCGTAATCTAGGTTTTCGTCTAGTTTTCGGTTAATAGACAAGCAACTTTCTTCTTCTTAATGAATGAAAATGATAAATCTTTGCCTCGTTTCAAAATAAAGTAAGAAAAAAAGGCAATGCCAAAGAAAAGCATGACTCGTAGAATACCAAAAAGGCACAGTCCAAAAAATCAGAAACTAAACAACCTAGTGATCGTCAACCCAAGGGCGACGAAACACGATCAAACCCAACCTAGAGAAGAGAAGAGGCAAGAGTATATTTCATAATGTGAAAGCGTGAGCATCCACTGCAAGAGAGCGAACATCGGTCGGCTATAGCCTGACTCAACCACGTCAGCAATGACAACGACTCTGACTGAAGCACAAACAACACATGGACAAAACCGTCATCTGCCTTCGAAAATGCCAGGGGCACGCGAGTGCGGGGAACTCACGTGCCCTGTCGCCCGCTCGTTTTGCCTCGAGATTCATGCAGTAGTACAATCCCGCATGAGGGCACGGTAAAAAAGAAAATCCCTCAGTTTTAAGTTGCAATGATGAAACTTACATTTTTTTTATCTAAAACTGCCAAGTTTCAACCAGTTTCAGAGATATAATGTTAAGCAATTTTTTCTGTCAGTCAAAGACACAAATAATTGTTTTTTATCGGTTGCTCGTACTAAGTTTCAACACTGAAACTTAACATATTTTTTTAGAAGTCGTCAAATATATTTGAATTTAATCTTATTTGAAAGCGTTGGTCATGAGAAACATGAATATGAAAACAAAACTTAATTTATAATTTTTGTTTAAAAGATATAAAACTTTGAAATTCAAAAACCGGAATAAAAAGTGGGCACCAGTGACATTCGTGCTCTCGCACTTGCGTGCCACAAATCCTCATCCACCATCCTCGAGTCGACAACACTATCTTGTGTGTCCAATATTGTTTTCACGACTCAGTGTGTCCAATTTTGGTGTCCTAACACAGCATCTCAACCCCATCGTAATTGGAAGTAAAAAGATCATATATTAAGTATCACATGTCCTTATAAAACATCATACAAAAGATAAAATTACAATCAAATTCTTAAAAGCATGGATGTCTTCTTCCTTCTACATCCACCGGCACCGCGCTGTGTGCATAGTTCGATGCCACCTCTAGGCCTCCGCCTCAACGAAGCATACTTTTCTAAACCAGAAGCAAGCTGTTAAAAATTCGTTGATGCAGACCAGGAGACACTGCAGACACAATCTGTGAAGGAGACACTGGAGACACAATCTGTAAAGCAAATCGCAATCTCAAGAAGTCAACGATAAGGGCTCGCAAAAACTCCGAAGACCGTGAAACTCAGCGGAATCTGAACAAATCCATCAAAAACCTAAATCGACCGGATTCTAGAAGACCCACCATAGACACGGTTCCACACGCCCCCCGCCACCCGCCTCACTGCTCCAAACGAAGCACGAACACTTCCTAATGAAAATTTGCAAAATAGTCAAAAAGCTTAAAAATATCACTAATGCCCCTGGACGACAAGTCTAGGTATGAGATGTTGAGAACACTTTCGTCCCGACTCATACGCTGACGCCCTCTTCTCTGGTGACCTACCCAAGTCGGGCCTCCGTTGAAGATCACCACGTTAAATCCCACTGGCCACCGCCGACTTCACCAATACCATCGTCGAGGACCCGAACACGCTTCACTTTCGCCACCTCACAACAGTCCCCCCAATTCTCCACAGTGGGACATTCCCTAACAAAATCATCCAGCCACCATCACTGCCATGCGGGCTTTGCCCGACGACCGTGAGGGGAAGAAGACTGGTGGTGATTAGGGTTTCCTAGTCGCCTATGCAGCCACCGGCCTCTCATGAAGCGTTACTACCTCCGTCCTGGTTTATTGGTTCTCATTGTATTTTGTGTCAAATTTTGATCATAGATTGAACTAACAAAATGTTAATGCATGTCACAAAATCCAACAATATAATTTTTGTTAACATGCATTAACATTTTGTTAGTTAAATCTTTGGTCAAAAATTGACACAAACTACAAACTATAAAGGGGACCTGTAAACCAAGACGAGGGTAGTAATTGCGAAGTAACAATTAGCTTCACGATGAAACCTATAAATCAACCATCGATCCAATTTGGTTAACCCAATTTGCCCAGCCTATGCTCTGGCCATGCACGCTTATTTCATACTTTCATAGTGCACCATCCTCTACTGTTCACGGCATTTAGCCGTACCGCATGATTGTAATTCTACAAAGTGACACTGTGCTGCATCTCGTAAAACAATGTAGAAGTAAAATTACTGTTGAGATAATCGGGCGATCACACTCACAAATCCAACGATTATTCATAGGAGGGAGTGCGTATGTCTCCCTCATCACACACTGGTTTACAGAACACCACATAATTGGAGAACATATGGCGCTATTATTCGCCGTCGACTCATGTATAGTACATCTGTAGGGGTGCGTACAAACGTACAGTAGAACGTTCCACAAGGGTATATCTTGTGGCATCGCATCACGGCCGTGTTCCGCGCGCTGTAGAGCTGCGTGCCCAATTTATACCCTGCACGCACAACGCAAAAACAGCCGGGTTAAAGCGAAGAACGACGTGTCGGAAACTTTCATGCCTCGGGTTTTGGCGTCACGTACGCGTTGCAGTTGACGTTGGGGTCGATCTTGAAGGGCGGCTGGACGCCGCACCTGCCGGGCAGCCCCGCGGCGCGGCCGAGGTACGGCCCGCCCGCCGCGGCGGCGGCCACGGTCTTGAGGCAGGCGCAGGCGGCGCGGCGGTCGGGCGTGGCGCGCGCCCTGGACACGAGCGTCTTGATCCCCGAGCAGCACGCCCGCGGCACCGCCCCGCCCGACTGCACGTACCCGAGGCACGGCATCAGCTCGTTGTACACCGTGGAGCACGTCAGCGCCGCGCTCGTGCCCCGCGGCGCCAGCGCCAGCGCCACCAGCAGCGCCGCCACGAGGAGCACCGCCGCCGGCGCAGCCGCGCGGGCGCCCCTGGTCCCGGCAGGAGCCATCGATGCCAAATGCCTAGCAAAGATTGCCAAGTAGTACTATGGGATCTTCAGGTGATCGGTGGGTGAACTGTGGTCTCAGGCAGGTGTGGCTCAGGTGGGCAGGGAGAGCGCAAGTATATGTGGGGAGAGGCGGCGACCGACGAGGTAGGGCGGTCGCTGGAACAATGGCCTAGAGGTGGGTGCCGGGAACCCGCGGGTGTGCGACAGTTGTGCTCCCTCTTTGCCGTGTGGTGCCGACGCAGACGTGCCGCATGGAGGTTTCGACACGCGCCATGCATGCATTGTCATGTGACATGTGTGGACAGTGGTTGGAGTTTCTGAATGTCCCGTGCAAGAAGGGGAAGAACTGAAGACGGGAAGGCGACAATGCCATGAACGCTCGATCTGAACACAACGGATGCGCGGTGCGTGGACTGCGGGCCGTAGACCAGCGGGGAGACTTGGCGTCAAGGCAGGCTGGGTCGCTCTAGCGACCTGGGCGATGCGCTGGTCGCTGCCAAATATCATCTCCCTGAAAGAGAGATGAACGTGGGCTGTCTTCTCTTGGTCCAAATATTTTCGCAAAAGAGTTTTACTTTCCCGTGAATTGGCAGGTAGAGAAGCACTGGACTGAAGTGGCTAATCAACTCAACCCGGCACCGAAGACTAGTGAAAGATGGAAACAACAAACACAATTTCCACATGCGTCTCTGGTTGTATGTTTTTTGCTTTTTTTTTTCAGAGGACTTTCAACTGCAGCCAATTGGGCCGTTTGATCTTATTGGGGCTAATTTCAACGCGCTGATGCAAACGGACCATGTCATTAGCTGAGGACCTGGATGTTTAGAATCTGATTGTGCTTCAGGTTGTAAAGGAGTAGTGAATGACATCAATCATGGGTCAGGAGGTCACCACGCCGCCATCATACATAAAATCATAGCTCGTAGGAGTAGTTCTCAGTCTTCTAGTTTCATTCATGAGCGCAGAAATTTTAATTTTGAGGCTCATAAACTTGTCAAGTTTGCTTGCAATTTAGGCTTAGATAGACATATGTGGCTGGGTAAGCCTCATGACCCAGCTAGTGTATCTATAGACATTAGCATGAATCAATAAAGACGACAAGTTTTCTCAACAACGAAAAAAACAGACGACCATCCGTTTTTTTTGTCCATCCGTGACCCATTTCCTGCCCAAATTTGGGTCGTGTTTGCGTCGGCGTGGATACTTGCAATGCCCGCCCTTGTCCTCACCTGCCACACAG